TGGCACACATTCAACACTTTAGCATTTGCATGCTCAGGAAGAAGAGTGTGGGTGGAAAGATGGGAGATGGTTTTGTAGCAGTCACTACTCTTTGTGTGATGGGCTTTAGAAACAAACCAACTTCACGTTTGAATGAACTTGGGCAGATTTTTTTCAGACTTATTTTATAGACTTTAAACATTTAACAGCTAGGTTTTCTGTATTTGAGTCTCCACTTATCCTTTCCAACATGTGTCAGTGTATGTGTGTGTGTGTGTGTGTGTGTGTGTGTGTGTGTGTGCAGTCATGTGCCTGCAAATGTATATTTATGTATAGGTTTATGTGTGTGCTTGTGTGTTGCATGTGGTGTGTGTTTGTGTAGGCCAGAGGTCAATCTTTGATGGTGTCATCAAAATCTCTCACTGGGACCTAGGACTCACCCATTAGGCTAGGGTGGCTGGCTGACTGGCTGGCTGGTGAGCCCCATGGTTCCTCCTGTCTCCATCTCCCAGCACTGGGATTACAAAGCACAACTTTCATGTGTGTTCTGAGGAATGAACTGAGGTCCTCATGAAAACACTTTACCTACTGAGCCATCTCCCCAGCCACCAACACAAATTATTTCAAGAACTCCACCAGTCTTGTCTTGCTGCTCTTTATACAGGGCACTTTCTTTGGAGTCGGAAACCCACAAATTGTCAGAATAATTAGAGACTTGGGAGTTAAGACTTCTAGAAATCAAATATTTTCTTTCTAAGAGCATGAATTCCACTTTTTATATTAGATTTTGATCAGCTTCTCACATTCTTTCTCAATGGATATTGGATATTGATTATAAGGTTGACAGCAATGATGGGATGTAATAGATATAGTCTCATGAGAAGAATGTGGGTCAGAGCTCAGTGTCTCACTGTTATCTAGAGAATCATCTAGATACTGTTGTGCTGTTGGGATATATTCTCTAGGGTCAGTCTGTTGGGTTTTTACTGTTAATGGAAGTGGCCTCAGAAGATGTTTTTTGTTTTTGTTTTTGTTTTTGCTGCCATTCATTGAGGAATGTGTATGTGTGTATGTGTCTGTGTTTGTGCATGCATCTGTTTGTGTGCATATGTGTGGTGTGTGTTTGTATGTGCATGTGTGTAGGTATGTGTGGTAAGTGTGCATGTGTGTTTATGTGTGCATGCATTGGCCTTTGAGTGTGTGTGTGTGTGTGTGTGTGTGTGTGTGTGTGTGTGTGTGTGTGTATTTCTGTATTGAGGCTTGGTTTAGGACATCTTATGTGTAATATATTCATCATAAAAGCAAAAGGTACCTGCCTACATTTGTATTTGGTACTAATTTTTAAAAGCTTGATTTTCTTTGCAAACCTCTGGTCAGTACTTCATAATAAAGATCAAGTGGCTGACTTCTGCACAACTGTCCAGGTTGCTGTAGTGGGTTGGTGGGGTATGCCTTTATAATCCTGAAGACTTTACTTAGAATCATAAGGAAAATGAATAGATTTTAAATATATTTTTGCCATGTTCTTCAAATGTTGCTTTAAAAATGACAAATGATAAAATATCCACCTAGCTATGGCTGCTTTTGGTTCTGATAAGGTGCCCTTCTTTAATACCCTGCTTCTCTCCCTTCTCTCCCTCTGCTCCTCTGTTCCCCTCTACTCTCTCTCTGCAGAGCTCATTATGACAGCAGCCAGGAGACCTGGCTCTTGAAGACAGCACCATAATAAGCACCAAAGGGCTGTTCTAAGAACAGTCCTACACAGTGAATACTGGAGTGGAGGCCTGTTCTGGGATTTTCCTATGTATATTCTTTTACATTTTTTAACATGTGGAGATTATTTTCTGTGTTTGAATGAGACCAATCACATCTCCACCTATGATGAACACACGATGATGATCATTTTGGAATCATTTTAATGTGAACATGAAATAATTATTTACTAAAATGATAAACCAATATTGCATAATTGTTATTATTATTTATTTAAAATACAAAGAAAAGATGACTATATTTTTTAAATAAAAATTAACAATTTCTTACTAAGGGGTAAACAGTGATTAGAGGTTTACAGTCAAGTCTAAGGCACTGTGTGTGGACTGTTTTCAGTCCCAGTCAGGGGATAAGCCCAGATGTCATTGTTGGGAAATGAAATATATTCTAGAGTCAGTCATGTGGTTGCCAAGTCCTTAGGTTGCCAAGAACACTCCATGTCAACTGTCACACAGGCCTTCACAGCATGGAGGAGGTGAAGGAAGACCCCCCCCCCCAGCAGCAGGCAGTGGTGATTCTTAAATACAGGAAGCAGAATTCAGACAATGGTGTGTTTGGTTCTGGAAATCTTTCTTAATAAACAACAGTGAATAGCCATTAACACCCCTTCATTTTAAGTCAGTCTCCTCATCTGAGTAGTGTAAAATTCCATGGGAAACTTTACAAGAAGTGATAACTTTAGAGGAGATACACCATTAAGTACCACACATCCTTAATCATTTTGCAATAGTAATGCAATCTCTCAAGCAACATTCATCAACATCAAAGACCCCTAATAGAGTTCTGTTTGCCCTGGAATTGTAATGGTCTCCTGTATGTTTCTTAATCATCTACCCTCAACCTTTCTGCCAGGAAACTTCTCTACTTGAATAGCTTCCTGAGAGTGAAGCTTTATTGAGATATAGATTTTTCTCACTAAGAAATTAACAGTAATTAATTTTGCTCATTAAATACTTTGCTATTCTGTCTATTGGCTTAATCTGAATGTATACATCAAATTTAAACTTTCTTAGCCCCAAAGGAGGCTCTATGCTTATGACTTAAGTTAGTTCATGAGCTATTCACTATTCATGTTCCACCCATGGACCAACAAACTTAAAATGTAAATTTTTTTAATTTTTTGAATACAAGAAACAGAATAGACATCCATGACTCTGTAGGAAGACGTGTCTTCTATAGTACAAAAAGCAGCCAAGCAGCCTCCAGACCTTCTCTTCCCAGGAGAATGTGACACCAGGCATCGAATAGAGCTGATTTTATTTACTTAAGCTCACATTTTGTGACACTGCCATGTTTAAAGTTGTTTATAGTTAACAAGCTTGGGGACGTTACAGAGGTTGTGTATACCTCAGTACACATGTTCTCCCACACATGTGGTACTGTAAACACTGCACCTCATGCTCATTTTCATTATAGCTGTTTTTAGCTTGATGCTGTGGATGGTGATTCTTTGTGCTGTAGTTAGGATTCTTCTAAACGTAACTTTCTCTAGAGCCAAAGACTCAAGGGTAATTCACTCCTCAGTGGATTCCAGAAAACATTCTATGGACATGAAAAAAGCATTAGACAAAGCCAGTGTATAAAATCCAGCTTCATCAAGCAAGTTACCACTCTTTGTAGTTGGGTAACTGTAGGGACATGTGAAGCATGCACCCCAGAATTAGCCTCTTGTCTGTTCTGTCCTGTAGGTCCTTATTATCAGTGCCTCTGTGGTTCATTAATTCCCCTGTACATCTGGCCAGCCCCCATGCATAAACCTGGGGTTAGGGTAACAGATGCTGCTGGGAGTGGACAGTGAATGTAAACCACATATGGGAGGTCACAGACAGCATCTGCTTCCTTAGGTCAGAGAGGTAAGGTTCAAAGACCTTGGCTCCATTTGGAATCAGGATAAAATCATGGTTTATACCAAGGTGGAGTCTCACAGCCAGATTATAAGGTGAATGTTACATAGAGCAGACTTACCTTTGGAAATATATAAGGAAGATGTCTTTTTAGATATGGGAACACAGCTTTTCAACAGATCCAGCTTCTGGGTTCATGTTCAGGATGGGCACACAGTACTGTTTCTGTCCCCAAGTTTTGAGGGACTTGCCTTCCATATGGGAGCAATGTTATGTGAAGAAAACTATATTTGAACATTAAGATCACACTCATTTTTTTGAGATGCCCATGAGATTTGAGACTGAAGAAACACCATAACTCTGTTTTCACACTTAATTTAGGAGGTGCTTCTTGGGTGCACGGTGAGTGAAATCACCCTCACCGCTTAACTTCTTTCTCAAGGGGACTGAAGTAATTAGATGCAACTTAAATATGTGTATGATGTGACTATATATATAAACAGACTATATATATATACATATATATATTAAGTCTGTTCTCTCTCTCTATATATATATATAGAGATATATATATAGATATATATATAGATAGATATATATATAGAGAGAGAACAGACTTAATAGAATCATTAATGTTCACTCTTCGGATGTAATTGGAAATAGTTGTGTGCTTGGGAGTGGAATGAATTCTAATCACCTCTGCTATTAATAGCAATCAGTTAAAACTCTTTTTGACATCATAAGTTCAAGAACTAAACATGTATAATGGTTTAGCCATTAAGAGGTAAACTTTAGACTCTGCTCTTCACAATGTAGGAGAAGGATTAGGAATTCAAACAGTGTTCATTTCCAGTGAGATGTAGAAGCAACTGCAGGTTTTAAGAAAATCTTATTTCCATGAGTGGACATTACAGCAAGCTAACCAGACTGGAGTAGGAGTAAGAGAAAATGAAGAGAGACAATCAAAGAGAGAAAACACTTCAGATGCTCAACACCTCACAAGGGCATCTGTTGACCTGTTATTCAGAAGTGGAAACTAAATTGTTGTAAGGAGAACAAGAACTAATTGTTGTAAGATCCTCACATAACTGCCTAATAACTTTCACTGTCCTCAGCAGTAGACATCTACTCTGCTAGCTAATTCTATTCTGGATGGATTATTAGGATAACGGAGTGTGCTGGGACTCTGGGATGCACATCACAAAGAGTTTGAGATGGTTGCTCTGTCCCTTTCGGTGTTCCTAGGTACCAGAGCAGTGTTTCTCAAAATGTGCATTAAGACACTTTGGGGGTTGAATGGCCCTTTCACATGGGTTGACTAAGACCATTGGAAAACACAGATATTTACATTGTGATTCACAACAGTGGCAAAATTACAGTTATGAGGTAGGAACAAAAATAATTTTAAGGTTGGGGTCATCACAACATGAGAAACTAGGAAGGCTGAGAAGCACTGTACCAGAACAATGTCTGCTGCACAGGGGGAGTTAATAGTTAGGTTTTGGTTGGTGTGCTAAGGAGACACCTTGCTGAGTTCCTCAACTTCCAAGTTCTAGGGGCTGCTTTTGAAAGATGTCAGCACCTGGCCATAGAAAATGAGGTTCTGAGATCTTTAACCCAGTGAGTTAATGCAATGTGGAAAAGTGTAGTGGAAGCTACACTGGGTCATGGAGAAAAAAAATTCTGTGAGAGGAAATAAATGATTCAGTTTTCCAAATTCAGCACTGATCCTGAGTGAAGATGGTTCTGCAAGAACGTGAGACAGAACCTGAAGGCATTTTGTACCCCTGGGTGTGTCTCTGGGCCTCTATTCTGTGCCATTCAAAATGTGTCACCCAACTGTCATTTTTAAAAATTCTCTTTATTTTTTGAGATTATAATATAATTACACCATTTCTACCTTTCTTGCCACCCGTCCCAATCCTCCTACACACCCCTTCTTGCCCTCTTTCAAATTCACGACCTCTTTTTTTTTCATTAATTGTTGTTACATGTATATGTATATGCTTGTATATACGTATATATTCCTAGACATAACCTTCCAATTTATATAGTGTTACTTGTATGTATGTTTTCAGGGCTACTTTTTGGTACTGGAAAACCAGTTGGTGTGCTCTTCCATGGAAAAGAATATTTCTGGGGAATGCCATTATTTTCTTGTATTCTTACTTTTGACTCTTGAGATAACATTCCAGGACCCGGGCACAAGGGAGGTGAGTGAGAGAGTCCTCTAGCCACTTTCTAGATTGTATATAGATACTTTCTATGAGGAGGAAGTGATAAACTTCAAGCAGGTTCTGCCTGAGCAGGTGCCCTGCTGCTGTGCTTCAGCTCTGCCCTCTGCCTGGGGAATGCAATGGCTCCTCTGTGGCCTCTCTGCCTTAGGACCTCTTCTTGGGCTCTGGCTGTCCACTGCTTACTGTGCTGTCCTGTGACACCATGCTGGTGCTTGGTGTCTCCAAGGCTGGTGGCCACCACACACCTTTAGATCCTGACAATTGACTCCCAGGCTCACTAAAGAATCCCCCACAAAGTGCTTCAGCACTCAGGTTCTGTCTTATATGATATGCAAAATGGAGAAAGTGATCTAGAGCCTAGGACCTGGGTTCAGGTTTGAGTATACGTGCTATCCGGGCACATGCCTTCATCCCTTCTCAGAAACCTGTATCCATGGCATCCCCAATTCACAGCATAATCTTTGCATGTGGCTTTTCTGGTAACAGTCCTTCTGCTTCTGTCTCAGCAGTGATGATGAGGACTAATGCTTAGAAGTACCTCAGTGCCTTGAAGCATTCATCTATAGAAATAAGAGCTATGGTTTCCTAAGACTTAAAAAAGGAGAAGTTTTCTGATCTTGAGCAAATGGTTACCTTCCATGTGTTACCTGGTCAATGCTAGTGGCTTGTTAAAAAATAAAGGGCAAAGGAAGGTTAACAGTATAGGAAGGACAAGGAGATGCTCTGACTTTTCAGTCTTACTGCCAGTTGCTGACAGAGGCAGCATCGGCCCATGAGCTTAGTTTCCTTTAATAAATAGATAATTAATTTTAACAGTTAGAACCTTTCTTCATTTCTTAATGGGTGGCAGGTTCTGTTATGAGTAATGCTAATATCAGATATGGTGGAGGCCAAGAGACAGGCCCAGTCCAGTTCTTAATTCCCTCTAGTTCTCTACTACATCCTGGTGTAGCCTTCTTGTGGGAGGGGCTTGCTTCTCTACACTTGATTGTGTCTTTCCTTGGTCAGTGACTTGCAGGTGAAGAGGCCAGTGTACTGTCCCTAAACATAAACCAGAAAGGCTTTGAATGATTCTGTTTCCTTGGTGGTGCCCACCAGCACCACAGAAGATGCTCTTCAGGAGGAGTGACAGTCCATGAACCTGCATCCCCTCTGACAGCAGCCTTTAGGAGTATCCGCCACCGCAGCTGGAATCAGGAGCACTTCTGCAACCAGACCAAGGCAGCAGCCCTCACTACTCACGATTTTCACTGAAGCCAGTCACTCCAAGAGTTGGGATAGGCAGTACTGCAGTGGTAATAGCTTACAGGCACACATAGGTCATGCTATTTAATATTTCTAGTTTATGGATCAGGAGACTTTGAGGCATGGAGGCCAGGCCATCTGCAGTTGCACAGTAGTGGAAAGTAGGTTCTAGGATTTGAATTCAAGCATACTGTCTCCATGGGGAAGAGTTCTTCATTTGTCATTTATTAAAATTAATTCTAAGCTAAATTTAATTGTTAAGGAAGTCTTTTTGATAACAGAAATAGAAAGGCACAAAGGCACATGCTGTATAAAAAATCTGCAGGATTTTAAAGTTATGTGTTCCTGGATTTGAATCTCAACTCTCACACATTATGTGAATTTTCTGATGACTGCTAACTGCTCAGAAGAATGACAAGGACGTGGACTACTTTATGAGTATTAAATAAGTCCTACCCATTGGACATCTGATCAGTGAGATGTGGCTCTAGATGCTCAGCATGCTGATATGAGTAACACTCACTAAAATTTTACAGTCCAGAGCAAAAGCAGGTGGTGCCCAGCAAGATAAAGAAATGGAGAATGTGTGGCATCAGGGTCCTAATCCACATGTTAGTTAGAACCTTGCAGGCAGCACTTTGCTTGCTTGCTTACTGTAGAGATTGGCTCATGTAATTGCAGGGCCTGAGAAGTCTGTACTCAGCCAAACTGGAGATGTAGAAGAGAGGGTGGTGTGGTTTCACCGGAAGCCCAAAGTCCTGAGAACAGTGGGTCTCATGGTGTGAGCTCCAGTCTGTGTCTGAGCCCCATGTTCCAGCTTCAGACACTGTCCCAGAAATCCTGTCTTATCCCTCTCTCCTGATCACTCTGCATGGAGTCCCATTGCATGGAAGAGAGAAATCTACACTGGTGAGTTTACAATTCAAGTGTGAGTCTTGCTTGGGCCTGGGCAGATGGATCAGTCAGCAAAGTACTTGATGTACAAGCTTGTGGACCCAAGTTAAGCCTTCCAAAACACTGAAAAATGCTGGATTTGTTAGTACACATGTATAATCCCAGCTCTGGGGAGGCAGAGACAGGGAGATCCCTGGAGTTTGCTGGCTAGTAGGTCTTGCAGAATTGGTGAGTTCTGGGTTCAGTAAGCAACTCTGTCTCAAAAAATAAGAGGGAGCAATTGGGGAAAACACCTGATGATCAGCTCTGGCTTCCATACACAAGCATGGATACATATACACACCAAAACTCAAATACAAAAGTCAACCTTACAAAAAACCATTACAGCCACATGCAGAATGTTTACCCTGACCCCCTGGCTTCCCTGTGGCCCATGCAGATTGGCATGCAGAGTGACATATCACTCTTTGACTTGGGAAGTCGCCAGGAGAGGGTTTCCAGAGGGAGCTGAGAGTTATACTGAGTTTTAGAGAAGACAGCATGGATGATATTTTGGGTGGCATGTATTGAGTACTCAGTAAAGACTGGTTTCTCTCCTATCACCTTTACAGGTCATGAGAATAAATACTACTTACTGCCAAGCAAGAACTCTCTGGGACACAGAGCATGGATGATTCCCCTGCCTTCTATGTCAAAGGAAAGAATTGCTGATTCCTGTTGAGGGGGAGGTGACTTCTGTGGTTTGTTTATAATTGTTCAGCATAGTTCCACCCCAAAAAGAATGCTTTCTGGTGTTTTAAAACCTCAAATTGCTTTTTACTTATGAAGAGAATTTACAGTGAGTTATGCTATAATGTAATCTAACCTGCTGAGACATACCACATTGGACATTCCCAGACACATCTTTGCTCCCTTGAGGGGAAGCTGTGAAGGTAGACTGGTAATCGCTGTAACAGGATCAGCATGGGGGAGATTGATCACACCTAGGAAAGTGACCTCTTCTAGGAACTTTGCAAAAGGCACACCTTTCCTGTTGATTGATTACACATCAGGGTGACCAGCCCTGGCTGAGAGGCTCAGTGTGTTACTCACCTTCTGCTGGCACATGCACTTTTTTGTTGTTGTTGGTGTTCATGCAAGATTGATGTGGAGCAGCTGTAGTTGGAAGGGCCCAGAAATTCATACCATGAAAACGCAGCTAGCTTTGAAAGGAAAAAGGAAAAGAGATTTATTATCCACAAACACAATTACAATAAGCTCCATTTAAAATGATGATTAAAGTTTTATACATCTATAGAGAGTGGTCCTCTTGCTGAGAAAGGGAGCAAGAGTGCATTCACGAAAGAAAGTCTGCTTCCTTCTACATCCTGAGTACACAGCTCCAAATCTGTGTCAATGGCCAGTCTTGACTCACCAATTCTCATTCCAGATCACAGCTCCCATTTTACTATGGAAAGTCTGTTTACTAAGGCCGCCTCTATCTTGTACTCCACATTGTGTCTCCCTCTGTAACTATCCGCAGATCTGACCCTGAAGTCGTCACGTCTAATCCATTTCCTCGTCTCCTTCTCTCTGTCAGCCCCTTTCCTGCTCCCAAACAATTTGTTGTTCTTTTTCTCAGATCCTTTGTTTTGCTATCCAACACCTCATCCATGTGAAAACCTTCAACTTTAGATCAGTCTGACACCACTTTCTTTCCCTCCTCTCTGCTTAGGAGCTGAGCATTAAAACTAAAAATCAAACAAACATATACCAGATTTCCATTCTGGAAATTAGCGTGATTTGCCTGTCATCAGGAGCAATGAACTCCATGCTTCCCAAGCTTCAGGGAGTGGTGCCATCTAACTCCCCACCTATGGATTTCTCATCACCCGTGTTGGATAGTTTTATGTCAACTTGACACAGCTAGAATTATTTGTAAGAAGGAAACCTCAATTAAGAAAACGCCTCCATAAGATCCAGCTGTTAGATCAAGTTCAGGCTGCCATGATAAAGTACCATACATGGAGTGGCTTAAACAACAAAACCTTTGTTCAGTGTGTGAAGTTCAAGGTTATGGCAGAATGTGCTGGGGGAAGGCTTTCTCCAGGCTTGTAGATGGCTACTATGTACCCCTCCCCCACCCATGGTCTTTTTTCTAAACACATGCACTTTTCCTCCTCCTGGAACATCATCTCTAGGTAAAAGCGCTACCTTCATGATCTCACTTAATCTAATAACCTCCTAGTGATGGCGCCACCAAAGACAGTGGCACAGAGAGACTGGAACTTCAACATGTCCGCTAAGGGGCAGAGAGTCCAGTCCTCAGCAGATCCTAAGTTGAACCAAACAGTTGAGATTAAGTTCCAAATTCAATTAAAGCAAATACTTTACAAAGCAATATTACTTCTGAAATGAGAGAGAATAAGTTACATGTGAAGGTGGAGATGCCCCATGTGGTTGGTTCTTCAAGGAAGGCCCAGCTGCTGAGCGATGCTTGAAGATGGACTTAGTTTAGCATCAGTGCTTTTTCTGCTGAAAGCTTCTTGCTTAGGGATACTCAGTTCCTAGGGCGGTCAAAGTTCAGAAGCACAAGAGATGGCTATTTGGAGATGGCATATGATGGCTCCAGAGGATTCCCAGTGGGTTTATGACCTCATCTCAGCATCTGCTTTCTAAAGAATTTAGCCTGCAACTGGTTTAATCTAGTGTCACATGACTCATTGTCACATAATTATAAAGGGTGATCAAAAAACGAAAGAATACAACCAGTTTTGCATCTTCAAAAACACGAGTGCTGCAGCCTGACTCATTGGATTTATCATTGTTTCCAAGAATGTCTACATTTTTAGTGTAAAAACTCACAATCAAAATTTTATAAAATTTACATGTGTACATAGCCATTTGTTTACATGCTCTGATTAATATTAACTTGTTTCTTACTCACTAGTGCATAGTTGCATGGTATGTAGACAGTTTCCATATTCCTTTTATTCTCCTCACTACTTTTTCAGCTTTGTCAATGTTAACTTGACTGATACAAATTTGTGTATATTCAGTGTATACTACTTCATGTTCTGCTTCATGTATATGTGTGTAAGGATGATCATGTAGATTTATATCCCACCATTTCATGTCATAACTTGTTTATTTGTGAGTGATGAGGATATTTAAGATCAACTCCCCAGCCAAATTCAAGCACACAACATATTTCTACTAACTCTACACAGCAAATTGTCATAGGTCTGCATTAGTTATCCATCCTGCAACTGACAGCATGGGTCCTTTGATTACCACTTCTGTACTGTCCCCTAGTCCCAGATCCTGTACCTTCTGTTGTCTTTACTTTGGCTTCTTCAGATCTTTCACATAAGTGAGATCACACAGTGTATACCTTTCTGCTCATTTCCACTCATCATTAGCACCTTCTGGGTTCATCCACATTGTCACAAATAACAACCTTTCTTTTTCTTTTCTAAGGCTAAAAGATATTCTATTGCATACACACATATTTACTTGTGATAGTTCTTTTATCAATTTACTCATCGACTGACATTTTGTCTTTCTCTACTTTTGTGAACAATATTACAATGAGCATGGTGGTGGAACTACTTCTTTGAGGTAATAGTCTTATTCCTTTGGACAGACATACACAGGATTGAGATTGCAAGATAATGTGGTATTTCTGTTTTCCAGTATTTGAGGAATTTCTCTATTGAAAGCATATATTGGCATTCATCGCACACATCCTTAGTCTTTGGGGGCAGTTTAATATTGCCCTTTATACTCTTCCCTAGGTTCATTTGTCTTCTATGAAATTACCCATTCTTTAAAGTCTGAGACAAATTGTTTTGCAGAATGGAATTCAATTCAGATTTGTTTCTGGTTATTTCTTCATATTTAGTTAGTATTAATAGATAGCACTGTGTCTCTTTGACAATGGTAATGACTAGTAGGTCTTTCCACAATAAAGGTTCTTTTACATGAAGCAGGTTTTGATGAAGATTTACAAAGATGGAAGCTCTTTCTCTCCTATCTGAAGAAGTTCTTTGCTTTATCTCTGTTTACCATCATCTCCTGACATGTGATGGGGACCTTATCAGAAGATCTGGGGTCAATGAACTTATAAATGGGCATCCATCCCCAATGGAAATGCTTATTCTTAAAAGTAAAAGTTTGTCCTTATCTTTATATTGTGGCTGTTTTTCATCTGATGACATGCAGTCTGACTTAAAATACTTGGACCTTTTCACCCATGGATTTGAGCATGTCTGACCTCTTGCAAACTGTGATATTGCTTGCATCTGTACGTGTCCTCCACAGTATTTAGGAAGTCAAAGGTCAGATGGGCATCCACATCACATAGATCCTTTGTGTCCCTAGAGATCTGTGAAGCAAACCTTAGGAGATGAGAGGCAACACAATGCAGATCACACCTATGGCCTGCACTAAGCTGGGGCTATAAGGATACTGCAGATGGTTGGCACTGATAGAAGAGATGGAAAGAAAAGACACACATGGTATATGTGGACCTCGAGCTCCTGGCCATCCCATCCCAATGAGAGTAGACTATTTCCTTTTTAAAATTTTATTAAGTTTTTCATTTATTTTACATCCAAATCACAGTTTCTCCTTCCTCTTCTCCTCCTATTCCCACCCCTGCCTCTCCTCTGCCCCATCAATTCGCCCCTCTGTTTCTGTTCTGAAACAGGCAGGCCTCCAATGGATGTCAAAAAAGCATGGCATATTAAGCTGAGGTGGAACGAAGCTCCTTCCTTTGTATTAAGGCTGGGTGAAACAACCCAGTATGAGGAATAGGTTCCCAAATGCCAGTCAAAGCATTAGAGAAAGGCCCTGATCCCACAGCTATGAGTCTGGCAGACAGACCAAGCTACACAACTGTCACACATATGTAGAAGACCTAGGTCTGTCCCATGCAGCCTCCATAGCTGTTGGTCTAGAGTCTATGAGTTCCTATTAGTTCAGGTGAGTTGTTTCTGTGGGTTCCCCTGTCATGACCTTGACATCCCTGGCTCATACCGAAGCTCTAGTCAGTACTTGACTGTGGATCTCTGCATCTGTTTCTATCAGTTACTGGATGAAGGCTCTCTGATTGCAATTAGAGTAGTCACCAATCAGATTACCAGAGATGGCCATTTAAGTCACCTTCTCCATTTTTGCTAGGAGAGACTGAATTGGACTCAGTCATTTTGGGATTTAAAGTTCTGACTCCTTCCTTTTTATTGCTATTTAAAGCTGGACATAATACTTACTAATTCAGAGACTCCTTTCCTCATCCCCTAGACAAGGATAACAGCACCCACACTGTGTGGTTGGAGTACATGCTCTATTCCTTGTTCTAGTAAATATCAAACATGAACCAGTACTAAACTATGGTGTTTGCAATGTACAGATACTATTCACATCACATCACATTTAAATCTTGCAAAATCTATAGTGATGTAGTCATCACATTTAAGTCTTGCAAAAACTACAGTGGTAAGTGGATTAGTGATATTAGCAGATTGCCAAATCTTGTGTGTACAGAGGATCAGCTCTGACACTCATCCTGTTCATTAAACTCCCAAGAATTAACTGAGTCATGGCATAGTGTCATCTTCCTGCAGGAAGTTGTTTACTATCCCTGAAGTAGATAAATGATTACACACTTTATGCAAATGCTGACATCACTGAAAGGAAACCATCAACTCCAAATCAAAGAAAAACAAACCATTAAATGGAATTGTAAGAAACAATATTTCTTAGATGTAAACATATCAATACTGTATCATAGAGGACATGGTTTAAATAGGATAAGTAATGAAAAATTTTTTGTCTGAATCTGTCAAATGTTAATGGACTAGACATTGTTAATGTAATTCTTGACCATATATATATATATATTTTGGTTTTTCGAGACAGGGTTTCTCTGTGTAGCTTTGCGCCTTTCCTGGAACTTGCTTTGGAGACCAGGCTGGCCTCGAACTCACAGAGATCCGCCTGCCTCTGCCTCCTGAGTGCTGGGATTAAAGGTGTGCGCTGCCGCCGCCGCCGCCGCCACCCGGCCAACTGTGTATATTTTATATGCTTATTTGATATAGTTTTTCTTGTATTAATTATAAGCATTTTTTATTTTTAGACAAAAAGGGGAAATGTGGTGATATTGTATTCCCCAAAATATTGTGCACCCTAATAAACTTATCTGGGATCAGAGAACAGAACAACCACAATATTAAACATGGAGGTTAGGTAGTGGTAGCACATGCCTTTAATCCTAGCATTCCAGAGGCAGAAATCCCTCTGGATCTCTGTGAGTTCAAAGCCACACTGGAAACAGCCAAGCATGGTGACACACACCTTTAATCCCAGGAAGTGATGGCAGAAAGCAGAAAGGTATATAGGGCATGAGGACTAGGAACTAGAGCTGGTTAAGCTTTTAGGCTTTTGAGCAGCAGTTCAGCTGAGATTCATTCGGATGAGAACTCAGAAGCTTCCAGTCTGAGGAAACAGGATCAGCTGAGGAACTGGTGAGGTGAGGAGGCTGTGGCTTGTTCTGCTTCTCTGATCTTCCAGCATTCACCCCAATACCCAGCTCCAGGTTTGTTTTTATTAATAAGACCTTTAAGATTCATGCTACATTATGGTCCTCCAGTGTATTTTCAGATGGAACTGCCATTCCTTTGTCTTTTCTAAGAGCTACAAGATAGTATCAGGAATGAGTATTAGGTATCCTAGCTTTGTTTGGCAGTTTTTCATGCTTATTACAGAATCAACTGTTCTACTTGGCTCAGTGGGCATTTGTTTATACAAAGAAGAATTAATTAATTATTCAAGCAATTATACAAATATTTCAATACATATATGCTGGCCTGCACTTGTATCTATATGGCTTTTAAATCTATCAAAAGGCAAATAGATAAAAAATATAAATAAGTCAATTATTAACCAAGCCTCTGTGTTTTTGTGCTATGCTCAGCTGGAAGTGAAATGTAGCAAAAGTGATTGCAGTTCATCAAAGAAAATATGAATAGACAAAGGTGCTATGTAATGGACAAAGTACAGTGGCAGTTAACTCATGACATGTACCATAGAGTAAGATGCTCACATTGCCTCAGGACTTTAGAGCATTGGGTTGGGTAGAGAGCTACTTCTACAAGTAGCTGTGGGAGTCAGTAACAGAGAACAGCCACTGTGTGAGGTGTGCTCTTTGGGTGCTTCCCTGCCTGTAGTCTTTTCTCTGTTGCTAGGAGTGAGTTTCCTGTGGAGAAAGCAGAAATGACTCTAATCCAGGCTGAAGCTGCCTTGCTTTTTAGTCGGGAAACCTTTGGTTATGTAACTTCTAAAAGGTTCATCAAGTTACTCGCCTTTGCATTGGTACCAAATAAGATAATTGTTTCCATAGTAAGTTTTAGGTCTCTTGATTTGCTTTTCAAATAGGATAAGGATGGTATTGGATGAAGGTGCTCACTGCATATGAAGCGTGTTCTGATGGCTGGGGCTGCAGCTCAGTGGATGAACACTCAGCTTTTGTGTTCAAGGGAAGAAGGCATTCTGGTGTCTGGACAGAGTGATCCCCTTCTGTATGATTTTTGTCCCCAGTCATGCACTTTGATAATCTGTCAAAAAATTAGGATTTATATGTTGTAGGTCTTAAGAGTTTATTAAGTACATTTGTGGATTACCCAAGCTGTCTAGCAGGGAAAATAGTATGTAGAGCTGATAAGATAAAAGAGTAGATTATTGAATCTACTTTTAAAAGAACGACTTGTTTTAAATATTTTACATTGGATTGGATTTTTTATATTGTATACAAATTATGTACATTGCTGCAAATTTGAGATTGATTTATATAGGTATGGTAAGATAAAAAGATAAATTATTAAATCTACTTTTAGAAGGCAACTACTCGTTTTGAATATTTTACATTCAATTGGATTTTTGTGTATTGTATACAAATTATGTACATTGCTACAAATTTGAGATTGATTTTGTTAGAAAATACTGTATATATATTTCTAATCTTGTTCAAGGTATTGTATCTATATAGTTCATTTAACAATATAAATGTAATTTTCTAGTTCATGAAAATTATTACCAACTACTTAGGATAATAAAGAAATGCAGGTCAGTAGTTAGTCATTAAAATCAACTTGTAGTCATATTAGGTATACTTTCAAGGTCAAGCAGAGATATTTTAGATAGACAGGTCATCTTCAAACACTTCAGAGATCTACAGAATATGGCATTTAAGATGTTCTAATAACAGATTTTTTTTCTTTTTTATGACTATGAGACATATCTGCTCTTGGCAGCACCAATCTACTTCAAAGAAGATGATGGGCATTGAAGAAACTCCATATGGAGTTTACTCTCATTGTGGCAAAAGTTAGCCACTGGGCAAGAAAGTGCCATCACATTGACTGCTGACAGTATGATGCTCAAATGGACAAGCAGGACACAAAAGAAAGGACTGTTGAACCTTGCCAAGACAAGGTAGGACAGCTCTTTAGAAAATCCTCCTTCACAGATGAGTCTATCAGATATGCTAAGCCTGTAGGCCAAAGATGGGTTCCCCAATATTGCAGAGAAACCTTGGTTGACTGTCCAGGCAGGCAGCTGTTTCTGTCATTCCTCACATTTTTGGAAGTTGCTTGTTTGCACTTCCTGTTTAACTAGGTAATATTATTTCCTTCTTGGGTCTCTGAGGGAGTTGAAGATTAGATAGTTATAGTTATAATTTTCCTTGTTAACAATTTCAGAAAAGAAACTCACTAAAGAGTTATAAAGTATATAAGTTTGAAAGACATCAAAAGATATTTTGGTAATGCAAATAGGATAGAAGGTAAATTAGATACAATCATTTGGATTCACAAAAGTAGGATAGATAATGGAGTATTTTCTCTGAATTTGTCAAATGCATATGGACTAGACATTGTTAATGTATTTACTGCCTGTATATAGTTATTGTACTTATTGTACATAGTTTTTATTATATTAGTTATAACTTTTTTATTTTAGATAAAAGGGGAAATGTGGTGATATTTTATTTGTGCACCCCAATAAAGCTTATCTGGGGAGTCAGAGGACAAAGGCAGCCACTATATTAAATATAGAGGTCAGGCAGTGGTAGGACATACCTTTATTCCTAGCATTCGGGAGACAGAGATTTATTTGGATCTCTGTGAGTTCAAGGCCACATTGGGAACAGAGCCAGGCATGGTGACAAATGTCTTTAATCCCAGCACTAGTTAACCATAGAGCTCTGGAGCTCTGTACAGATGGACAGGAAGTGATAGAGCTAGGCAGAAAGAGGGAGTGATGTAGCTGGGTGGAAAGAGGAAGTAAGATGGCAGGGCACAGAAAGGTAGTTGTGATTATACAGGAAGTAGCTCTCTCTCTGGAGGCTGAGGAGTTGGTAAGGTAAGGTTGGCTGTGGCTTATTCTGTTCCTCTGATCTCTCAGTTTTCACCCTAATATCTGGCTCCAGGTTTTTTATTAATAAGACCATTTAGCAATTTGCCTTGCATAGAGCCTTTACTCTGATAGATGGGGAAATGGAGAAAAGTCTTATTAATTTCAATGACAACTACATAGAGGAAGGCTGAGCTGAGGACAAACCTCACTCAGGCTCCAAACCCTTGCTCTTTCACCCCTACTCCCCCAACTCACCCCTCCTTCCCTTACTCCCTTTCTCTCTGCTCTTCTTTGCCATCCACACTGGGTTCTCCATTGCCATTCCATGCTTGTCCTCTTTTCTTTATTCTCCTTCATGATCATCTGCTTGGGGTATTCGACTAGATTGCCACTTGACAGATAAGGGCAGGGGCCCCATCAAGCTGTCCCACCCCATGGTTTGAATCAGGTCTTTAACTTACAGAAGCATGTGGGGTGGGGGTGGGGTCATGCTGTAAATAATAAATTAGCATATGTGAAACATAAGGCACCTTCTATTTCCATATCCATATTCTCTATCACTTTAAAATAAGCACTTGTTGAGATTTGTGTTTGACACTATTTTTGGAAATAACTGGTGCAGGCAAGAGCTTGAATAACATGCAGCCCCATCTCTCCAGAGTTCTGGAATCATCTCCCCTGGAGCTAGCAGCTCATCTCCCCATCTGTGCATTTGGTCCCCAGATACCAGTGCACTGCCAGGAAAGGAAGATTCACCTCAGGTACCTCTGTCCTTTTGAACACTAAACTACTGGACACCGAGCTGGGAAAAGTATCTGGATTCTGAGTCCAAGGTTGTGCACCCTCAGGTCCTGGATGAACAATTGTTTCTCAAAGATAAGCTTACTTCTAGGTAAAGAGCCTGGACTAAGACATGGCACCTTCTGTATCTGGCCCTTGGGTAGATGTGAACTGTGTTCCTGCTTTTCTTTCACTGTCCTCTGCAATAACATTGTGAGAGAACAGATGTTTTCCCAGACTGAGGAATGACAGAACAAATTGCTGCAATAATATTGCTTTACCATTCTATCCCGGGCCATTAAGTGTCATTAAGCACACATGTGCCATGAGTTTTGCCCATGTTGTGATGCAACTGCCCAGGCATTGTTTCCTCCCCCTGACAAAGCTTCCTCAAGCCCATCATTTGAGTCAATGGAAGTGTGAAATTTATTTTCAGGTCACTTCTGGAGGAGACCACAAGGTCATTAGCTGTCATGGAGATGCAAGCTGAGGAAATTGAGGCACAGAGCAGAGAGAGGAGAGGGGATGAGTCCCACTACATTTACATTTAAACAGTTCCCCCGTGGTTCTACATTCAGTTTTGCTCTGCTTTTAATTTAAACACTCTCTAGCAGGCAACTGAGTTGTGCTTCTCTCTTGGGTGGTTTTCACCATCCTCTCCCCTTGTGTAGGCACTTAGCTCCCATTAGTGGTAATGGGCGCTGTGCATGTATAGCACCCATTAACAGTAATGGAAGCTCTGCCTGTGCATCCAGAGGCCGTGTGCCCTCAGTTCTGGAACATCTTCAGGAAGACAGCTCCTTCTCTGGCGTTTGCTGTCATCAGGTCTTTCTGTGGTGACAGTTTGTGCTGTCAAGAGTGACCATGGTGTAAGACACTACCAGCTTTTCCATGGGAAACCTGCACAACAGACTAAAGAATCTTGGTTTATTGTGTGTGTGTGTGTGTGTGTGTGTGTGTGTGTGTGTGTGTGTTTGTGTGTTTGTGTGTGCTTGCCTGCATGTGTGCATGTGGACTAAAACAACAGTCAAGCAAATAGTGTTAAGAAATATAAAACAGATCCAAATTCCTTAATTCAGGGCCAAGAGTGGGCTACATCGAAAACTTTAAGGCTGGGAATTAGGGCAGATAACATTGTCTCCTTCCAGGTAATAAATAGCACAGATTTGAACAGAGGAGAAAATAATCCATTAAAAAAAATAACAGAGTGCTGTTTATGCAGTGGTAATGACTTCTCTGCAGATACATGTGCCTCAACCCATAGAGACGATTTCTACCACAACACTTTGCTGAAAAATGGTGGGCAAAGGGTGATTTTACACGGGACATGAATCACCAGCTCATTACATTTAGAATGAGCTATGCAAAAAGAGGATGATTCATCACTGTTTGTAGGAGTGTCAGATGCACCAACATCAACACGTCTCAGTGGTCTGAGCATTCATCTCTGCTGCAGGCGTTTCCCCTGGTCTGGTGGAGATGGATCACGCATTGGGTTTTGGTGCTGGGAGACAGAGCTATGAAGAGCCTTGGAGTGATTAAGAATGCAAGCCCCGGGAGGCGCCCACCTGTGCCTAGATGTTGCCCCAGCCTCAGGGGATCTTATTCCACTTCTGAACCCATGTCATCTCGTTTGTGAAATGAGGATTTTAATTCTCATCTTTTGGGTGTTGTGAGGATTAAATGATATCGAAAATTGCATTCACAGAATTGTTATCAGCAATTACTTATCTGGAGAGATAAACTTCTACAGTATTAGAAAGCCAGATCACATGAACACCAGTTGTCCTAATCTGTTGTATATTTTAAACACAATTTTAATTTTTAATTGTTTAACCATAAACATGCCTGTCATAGCCCCTGCTGTAGCAGGAATCTTAAAAGTTCTTATTAATAAAATCAAACCCGAGGCCAGTTATTGGGGTCAATACTGGTAGATCAGAGAGACAGAACAAGCCACAGCTATCTCACCTTGCCAATTCCTCAGCTGGTCCTGTTTCCTCAGACTGGAGGCCTCTGAGTCCTCATCCGGAATGGGTCTCAGCTGAATTACTGCTCAAAAGCC